TCCCTCTCTCGCTGTCCCTCTCTCGCTCTCTGTCTCTCTCTCTCTCTCTGTCAAATAAATAAAAAGAAAAAAAAGAGGATGGTTGTTCATCCATTCTACAAGCATTTCTGGCTACTTTGTACTTCATTTCATTTCTTTTCTTTTGGAAGTTTTGTTTTACTTTATTTATCAAAGTATAGTTGACACACAATGTTTACATTAGTTTCAGGTGTACTCCTTTCTTCATTTCTTTTTTTTTTTTAAGATTTAATTTAATTTAGGGGCGCCTGGGTGGCTCAGGCGGTTAAGCGTTTGCCTTCGGCTCAGGTCATGATCCCGGAGTCCTGGGATCGAGTCCCACATCGGGCTCCTGGCTCAGCTGGGAGCCTGCTTCTCCCTCTGACCCCCTCCCCCTCATGCTGTTTCTAATGAATAAATAAAATCTAAAAAAAAAAAAAAAAGCATCAAGCAAGTTACGTTTGTAGACTTGGGATTAAACCAAACTTTGGAATTAAGACGACATGCTCTCATACACTGTCCTACCATCACACACTGTGGTATAGCAGTGATTCTCAAGCTTTCCTGGGCTCCCTGACCTTAACCTAAACTGTACTTCTCCAGAAACACGTCTGACACAAATTTTAGAGATTATGTGTGATATATGAAGGAGGCATGGCTTGTTTTTCCATTGTGTTCACATCCCTCACATTAACGTACATCACTACCATGTTATGCACAAAGGAAAACAAAACAACACAGCTCCATCAGGACCACCAGTTCATTTATTGTAAAAACAGGACCCCACACAAAGACTATTAAGTGTATGACAAGTAACTCACAATAACCTCCTGCTTTGACCACAAACATTAGTACCTAATAGAAAAACCAGCCCGGAAGCACCACTTTCCCTCTGGGGCAGTAATTTTCAACTGTGATGACCATAATATATCTGGGAATATTTTCATTAACAGAAATTACAGAGCAAACGTTGAGGAAGTGTTGCGTCTTGTGCATGGTAGAGAAGCCAAGCAACAGTGCTCTGGTACATAGCTGTTCTACAGGCCTGGCAGCACCTGAGAATTCGTGCCCCTCTTAACTCTCACAACACTGTGAGACAGACCTTTATTCCTGCTCTACAGGCGAAGAAACAAAAGCGCAGAAAAGCAACTCTACTTAAGATCAAACAACAAATATTTACGAGGCCTGGTTGTAAACCCAGAATCCTCCATTAGTAATTCTGTGACCAATACAAACTTCTAAAACCTTAGAACCCAAAAAACCCCTCACGGTATTCTGTAATCAAGCTTCCCATTTACAGTTTCTTCCGAATCTTACCATTTTGCGAAGTTTAACCACTCGGGTACCACCGTTCTTGTCACCACCGACTGGTTTTGTGACAGTAGCAAGAACTTTCTCCTTCTTTTTCTTTTCAACCTATCAGGACACAAATGCATCAAAGTCAGAGGCAGACAAAATTTCTAAGGTGAAGACCTAAGTCGGTCAGCGATCCTCCTCATCCCTTACCCTAGACTTAGCTGCCGAATACTTCCTCTTGTACATGGCCTTTCTGGAATACATAGCCGATCGGGAATATCTGCCAATTCCTCTGACAAGTACAGGGTTTCGGCTGCAGTGGGGCTTCCCCTTCTTTGGCGTTTTAGCCTTGGGGTTACCCTTCTTAGCCTTGCCACCGGCATCAGCCTTCTTAGCTTCAGGTTTCTTCTTAGTATCCGGCTTCTCAGCTTTTTCGCCCGCCATCTATCAGTACACACATTAAAAAAAAAGAAACATTTCACCAATTATCCCATGACAAAACAATGTCTGAACAGTACATTGACAGGCTTCCGAGAAGACGAACCCCCACCCTCTCCCCCCAAGTAGCTGTAACAACCTTTCATCCCTCCCCTTAAGATCCCAAACCACACATATCTGCAATAACCCTCAGAGTGGCTAATTTGTAAGAATTTGAAGAGATCTTACATCTGTTTGATAAATATGTAGTGGTCTAAAGTCCCTATTCCATTCGTTCACTATTCCGGTTTTGTGGAAATCTTAACAAATTGCCACAGCTATGAAGCAGCGAAGAGGGACCCTGAAACCGTTTGCTTCCAGGGCTTTTGCGCTTTTCAGACTGATGTTTCATTCAAGAAATTCAGCGTAGGAGTCGAGAACACACTAACATCCAGCCCAAACTCAGGCTAAACTAAAAAGCGCAAAGCCAAGAGGCGACTTCCGGTCGCGGACGTGGGAAGAAGGCAAAGTAGCGTTTGGCCTCAGCCCCAAAGCTCAACGTGGCTTCAAACTCAGCGGTGTCTTTTGGAACCCGAACCCGGGATTCCGGAGCGCGCGCGCCGTCATCCTGGTCCCTGCGGCCCCACCATTCCGCTACAGATTCCCAGAAGGGCCCTGTATCCCCAGCCCAAGAGGGTGGCACGCAGCCGGGAGCTCCCAAGCCTCTTCGGCATTCCACCTCACCCTCTTCGTGCCCCTGCGCAAACCCAGGCGAGATAAATGAAGCCTTTGGGAGGCCTCTCAGTTGACCCCGAGCATGTCCGACCCCTGCAGGTGTTCACTTGACACCCTCCTGATTCGGATGGCGAAGGATTGGGGAATCCCGAAATCGACTCTTCCACGGAGGACCCGCCATTCTTACCTTGCAAGATGGGAAAGAGAACTAAGGTCTCGGCTTCCGGTCTATAAGGAATCACGGGAGGTGTTGAGTCTCACTTCCTTCCGGATCTGGGGCATTATGGGAAATGTAGTTTCCCCTCCTTTGCCAGACCCGTATGGAGAGCTATTTCTTCTAAGAGGCAAAAGCGAAGAACATTTTGAAAATGTTTCACTTTATAGAACAATAAAATTCTCAAAATACTTTTGGAATCCGACATAAATTACAGCTTTTTATTTTGCTTACTAAGGACATTAGAAAAGACTAGCATTTTCAATGTAAGAAGGGAGAGATAGATAAAAGACCAAATCTCCAAATAAAGTGAAATCTTTCCTATGAAAGGCTAGTTGGGAACCTTCCATGGACGTTTTCTCTGCAGTTAACTTAATGCCTGTATCCCAGACTATAGCCAGTGCTCAATGGCGAAGAGTCAGAAAAGATAGAATTAAAATAAGTAAAATAGAGGGGCGCCTGGGTGGCTCGGTCGTTAAGCATCTGCCTTCGGCTTGGGTCATGGTCCCAGGGTCCTGGGATTGAGCCCCGCATCGGGCTCCCTGCTCTGAGGGAAGCCTGCTTCTCCCTCTCCCACTCCCCCTGCTTGTGTTCCCTCTCTCGCTGTGTCTCTCTCTGTCAAATAAATGAATAAAATCTTTAAAAAAAAAAATAAGTAAAATGGGGGTGCCTGGCTGGCTCAGTTGGTAGAGCATGTAATTCTTGATCTTGGGGTTGATGAGGTCGAGCCCCACACTGGGTGTAGAGATTACTTAAAATAAAATCTTTTTAAAAAATAAAATGAATAAAATATACTCTTGCTCTCAAAGAACACACATTCAAAGGAAAAACAAACAAAAAAATGAATAATTATAAGCTAGTTCTTCTGGAAGATTTTGGAAAGTTTTGCAAAAGAGTTGGGTTTTGTGTTGGATTTGGAAGGATAAATACAAATTTGGCAGGTGAAAGTGGTAATTGGAAGAATAAATGCAAGAGGCATGGAAGCATATAAGAGGATGGTTGTTCAGGGGCGCCTGGGTGGCTCAGTCGTTAAGCGTCTGCCTTCGGCGCAGGTCACGATCCCAGGGCCCTGGGATTGAGCCCCGCATTGGGCTCCCTGCTCAGCGGGAAGCCTGCTTCTCTGTCTCCCACTCCCCCTGTTTGTGTTCCCTCTCTCGCTGTCCCTCTCTCGCTGTCCCTCTCTCGCTCTCTGTCTCTCTCTCTCTCTCTGTCAAATAAATAAAAAGAAAAAAAAGAGGATGGTTGTTCATCCATTCTACAAGCATTTCTGGCTACTTTGTACTTCATTTCATTTCTTTTCTTTTGGAAGTTTTGTTTTACTTTATTTATCAAAGTATAGTTGACACACAATGTTTACATTAGTTTCAGGTGTACTCCTTTCTTCATTTCTTTTTTTTTTTTAAGATTTAATTTAATTTAGGGGCGCCTGGGTGGCTCAGGCGGTTAAGCGTTTGCCTTCGGCTCAGGTCATGATCCCGGGATCCTGGGATCGAGCCCCGCATCGGGCTCACTGCTCCGCAGGAAGCCTGCTTCTCCCTCTCCCACTCCCCCTGCTGTGTTCCCTCTCTCACTGTGTCTCTGTCAAATAAATAAATAAAATCTTTAAAAAAATAAAAAAAGATTTAATTTAATTTATCTATTTGAGGGAGAGAGCATGAGCTGGGGGAGGAGCAAAGGGAGAGGGAGAAGCAGACTCCCCACTGAGCAGGAAGCCCCACATGGGCTCGATCCCATGACGCTGAGATCATGACCTAAGCTGAAATCAAAAGTCAGACGCTTAACCAACTGAGCCACCCAGGCACCCTCAGTTTCTTCATTTCTAAAATGAGGATAACAATATTACCTGCCGGGGCACCTGGGTGGCCCATTCGGTTAAGCATCTGCCTTTGACTCAGGTCATGATCTCAGGGTCCTGGGATGGAGCCTTGTGTGGGGCTTCCTGCTCAGCCAGGAGTCTTCTTCTTCCTCTCCCTCTGCCCCTACCCGTGCTTGTGGGCACACGTGCTCACTGGTGTTTTTTTTCTCTCTCTCAAATAAATAAATAAAATCTTAAAAAAGAAAAAACAGGGTGCCAGGGTGGCTCAGTAGTTAAATGATCCCAGGGTCCTGGGATCGAGTCCCTCATCGGGGTCCCTGCTTGGCAAGGGAGCCTGCTTCTCCTTCTCCCACTCCCCCTACTTGTATTCCCTTTCTCGCTGTCTCTCTATCTGTCAAATAAATAAATAAAATCTTTAAAAAAAAAAAGAAAAAACAATATTACCTGCCCCACAATGTTGTTGGGAAGATTAAATAAGTCACTATAGACAAAATCACGAAGAATAGTATTTGATGCACGGTAAGTGCTAGATAAATGTTAGTTCTTGTTATCATCACCTGCCCCCCAGCATGACACCACCGTCATCAACATCAACATCATAGTTGTTGGTGAGATCCTACTAGGTGCCAAATATTCTGCTAATGTTTGTGTACTGGGGATAATAAAAACAATATCGTATGCTATGTGGTTAGAACAGTGCTTTGTGCCTTGCTTTATTTCATTCAATCCTCTCGACAACCTATGAAGGATACTGTTATGAGGAATCTGGGGTTCAAAGGAGGTCGAGTAACTTATTCATAACATGGATCTGATTTCAGAGATTGCACTTTTAACCATCCATATAAAAAGATTAAAAAGATGACAAATGAAGATGAATAAGAGAGTTCTTTGCTCATATTAGAATTAAGAAGAAGAATACTTATTACCTTTGCAAAATAGACAAAACACTATATCTTACAGTTTTTTACTGCATTCAAGCCCTTAAGGCAACATGTCCACATATATGGCACCTTTTGGCTTGAATTTTCCATTCTCTTTCATTTGCTTGTTCCTGGTGGTGAGAGCTTTTCACCTTGATTTTCTTCAGATCTAAATCACCTGCTTTGTGGCTGTGTTCCCTGGGAATCATGTAGCCTTTCCCCATTCTGGATGACTGAAGATACAAATATAGTGATCTCGGAAGGCCTCAGAGATTTCCGTGGATCCTTTCAGACTACAGTGAATGCAGACTGGCTATGCCTGCTGAAACATGTGGGTTCTAAACGAGTCTGTCTTCCTTCCATACAAATTAAGGATGAGTGTGATCCTAATAGGCTGCATTTTATGCCAGTGTATGATTATTCACTGTCCGGGCCTGTAATATTCCCAAGGAAAAGCTTGGGCACTGCTCTTTTTTTTAAGAATGGAAGTGTCAGCAGCTTTACTTGTTCAGCCTCCTGAGCAAAACACCTCCTAGAAACAGCTACTTCAGAAAATGTATTGGAAAAAAGAAAAAAAAGAAAATGTATTGGAATGAATGAAGTGCAGAGTTGCTCACTTAAGCCCCTAAAAAAATTAACAATTTCATAAACTTTCACGTAGTAAATACACCAATATATTTGTTAAATGACCAGCCATTGAAATAAAAACATAAATGAACCCCCTCTTGTGTTTCGTTGTGGTACTGCAAAATTTACCCTTCATTACTTGGACAAAATATTGTCAACGTATTAGTTATAAAGTAAACATTATTATCAAGCACCTAGTTTTGTCATATATAAAATGTTCTTAAATTTGCTCAGTGCTTCATTAATTGCAAAGCAGGCATTTTTGCAGACACTAAATCATTTTAAGCCTCAGGGCAACCTCACTGTGAAGTAGGAATTTTTTTTAAAGATTTTATTTATTATTTTAGAGCGGGGGAGGGGCGGAGAGGAGGGGAGAGGGACCAGCAGACTCCATGCTGAGTGCAAAGCCCCACGTGGGGCTCTAAGCGGGGCTCCATCCCACGACCCGAGATCGTGATCTGAGCCAAAGTCAAGAGCCAGATCCTCGACCAACTGAGCCATTCAGGCGCCCTTGAAGTAGGAATTTAAGATGAAAGAACTGAAACTCATTTATAATAAATGATTTATCCAATGTCACACAGATACATTGAATCCTACCTCTTGGTGCCACAGAAAGACAGAAAATCAGCAGACAGTTGTGCTGCAGAGAAGGTACAGACCTTGTAACTTGGCATTCACTTGATATATGATCTTATGATAAACTTCTGCACATAAGGTTTCTTGTTTATAAAATGGGGATGGGGGCACCTGGGTGGCTCAGTCAGTTAAGTGTCTGCCTTCTGCTCAGGTCATGATCTTGGGATCCTGGGATCAAGCCCCACGTTGGGCTCCCTGCTCAGCGTGGAGTCGGCTTCTCCCTTGCCCTCTCCCACTCCCCCTGCTCGTGCTCTCTCTCTCTTTCTCAAATAAATAAATAAAATCTTTAAAAAATATATAAAATGGGAACGATATTGACAACATTGATAATACCTCCCTAAGTTAAGATCAACATATGATTCACTCATTCACTCAATTTTCTCAATAAAAAGTTCATGGGAGTGCGCCTGGGTGGCTCAGTTGGTTAAGCATCCGACTCTTGGTTTTGGCTCAGGTCATGATCTCATGGGTCACGAGATTGAGCCCTGTGTCGGGCTCTGCACTCAGCTGGGAGTCTGCTTGAAGATTCTCTTCCTCTGCCCCTAACCCAATCACTCTCTCTCCCTCGCTCTCTCTCAAATGAATAAATCTAAAAAAAAAAAAGAAAGAAAGAAAAAAGAAAGAAAGGAGTGCCTGGCTCAGTCGGTTAAGCGTCTACCTTCCACTCAGATCATGATCCCAGGGTCTTGGGATTGAGCCCCATGTCGGGCTCCCTGCTCAGCAGGGAGTCTGCTCCTCCCTCTCCCTCTGCCCCTCCACCAAATTGTTCTTTTTCTTTCTCCCTCTCAAATAAATAAATAAAATCTTTAAAAAAAATAAAAAGAAAGAAAGTTCATGAAGGGGTGTGCCTGGCTGGCTTAGTTGATAGAGCATGGGACTCTTGATCTTGGGGTTGTGAGTTTGAGCCCCATGTTGGGTGCAGAGATTACTTAAAAATAAAATCTTTTTTTAAAGATTATTTATTTATTTATTTGACAGAGAGAGGCACAGTGAGAGAAAGAAC